CAGGAATTAACCATGATAGTTTCCAGGGGGAACCGCGAGGAGGTCGACCTGGTTGGGTATATTGCTAGCAATTGATGGACTAACTAGCCTGTTTTCATTCTTATTGATCACCAGTGAGGGATGACAGCATGAAAAGGCACGTCGGCCAGCCCATCGTGATAAATACACCTGGGATTCCAGAATATGTAGGGGGGACCACGTAGAGGTCGACCTGATAGAGTATATTGCTAGGAATAGGGCTGGAGGTCTGCATTACTAACAATCCCTTCCCCCCGCCCCGCCCCCATGAAACTGATTTGAGCCATCTCTCTCCATTAACTCCTTGTAACACATTTCAGATCGTTACTTCATCTAGAAGGGGGGGTCGCCCTGCACTTCATTTGACTATACGAGTACACAACTTAAGAAACATACTTCATTCCGAGTGATGTGACCGGCGCATTAGCACTTCACGTTTGTGGTCCTAGTTACATAAATGCTTAAAATATTCAATGGTGTGAAGCGCAGGTATTCAGTATTGGGTCTGCACGAGTGCCGGCCGGTTACGGAGATTACGCAACGCAGACGAGCGGACGAGGCGCGCCGAAGAAAGTGACCGTGTATTTACTTATTTAGAATGTACACTCGATACTAAAAGTGATGCCAACCAAATATTTTTTTATTTTACAAGCTTTCGCCCGCGAATTCTTACACTTACACTTACACCAGAGGGAGACTTTGTACAAAAGTCGATTGCTTGGGTACCTCTGTCCCATTCGTGTTTCAACCGTGAAGCAATTGTGTTTGCATGGCTGTGTTTCGGTTTGAAGGGTGGGATAAGGCGTGAATTTACTGGGTACAGAGGAATAACACCTGAGTCCTCAGGAATGGCAACGCATGGGGATATCATGGGTGAAACAGTATACTCTGTTCATGGTACTGGTCATGTCTATAGGCGACGCTTACCACTTTCCATTAGGTGGGCCGTCAGCTTGTTAGCCATTCTAAGTTGCATAAAAAAATCAGTAACTTTTAGTAAACGTGTAATATTAACACTTGATTAAATTTGATTAGGATCAATGATATCATCATCATAGTTATCACAGTTAAAGGCTAAACACACAGATATCACAGTTAAACTGTCCTCTGCTGAACGTAAGCCTCCCCCTTAGGGGGTTTTGCCAGTAGTTGCCACGCTTGGCAGGCAGATTGGCAACCGCAGTCAGGCTTTAGAGATGTTTTAAGAGGGACGCTGCTGCCCATCCCTAGCCCTCCCTTAGTCGGTTCTTACGTTACCCACGGGATAGGAAGGGGTAGTCTATTTTAGTTAATATATCAACATCGTATTAGCTGTTATCTACCCGCTATTGAATATAGGCCTCCCCAATAAATTGTCATAAGAAACGAGATCGTTCTTTACGACAGTTTATAATTGGGAGGATATACCGGCAGTTGTCATGCTTGGCAGGCAGGTTTTTTTTTTCTTAATAGGTGAAAATGGTATGGTAACCCCGCCAGCGGTAACGGGATACGCTGGCGGAGCACCAGTGAAGGGTGATAGATGAGAATGAAAACAGGCCAGTTAGCCCATCATGATGAATTCATCAGGAATTAATCATGATAGTTTCCAGTGTGAACTGCGAGGAGATCGACCTGGTTGGGTATATTGCCAGCAGTAGGATTCTCAGTCTCCATTACTAACAATCTCTTTCCCCCCTGGCGGGCAGGTTGATAATCGCCGTTTGGCTTTTGGTAATATTTAAGAGGGACGCTGCTGCCCTCCTTTATCTATCCCTCGATTACTAAGTTACTTACTCGCCTTTTACGACGCTAATGATAAAGGAAGGGGTACCAATTTCTATGCTGTTACCACACGGCATATGTTATATACGCTGAATTAATAAAATTCGACAGAAACACATCTGTCGCCGACTGTACCGGTCGTGTAGTTGAGAGAACCACGAATGTAGCTTCAACATTTCACCGGACAGCCGCGGCCCGCGGCGGAGTGCCAAATGTGACGTCACACACCAACTAGTACTAGCAGACACTGGACAGACGTTTTTGGAGTAATAAAAAAAAAGTCATTAACAGTCGCCGTTCGTGTTTTCATTCAAGAGTTTCCTCTTGTCGGTACTACTAATTCATGCAAGCACTTCCAGCCAGCTCTATCCCAGGCCATATCTTTGACCTCTTTATACGATATGACACCTAATGTTGGGGAGAAAGAGATTGTTAGCAATGGTGTTTGACAGCTCCATTGCTAGCAATATGCCTTAATAGGTCAACCTCCATATGGTTCCCCTTGGAAACCATCGTGAACAATTTTTCACGTCACGACGGGCTATCTAATCTGATCCTTCACTGGTGCCCCGCCGGTGTATACCAATCGCGCGGGTGGTATTACCATTCCATTATCATCCATTAAAAACAAGACACCTAGTGTTTCTTTTATCTGTCCTATGTAGTTATTCCTCGCTCTTCCCCTTCCTCTCTTTCTCTCTGCTTTTCCTTCTGCTATACTCTTTAAAAAATCGTCATGTCGTATAAGATGGCTCAGCATTTTGCCTCTTCTCCGTTACCGTTATTAAAACTTAATAAACTCGAAGCATGGCTACATCATCATATCAGCTCTTAACTGTCCACTGCTGAACATAAAGCCGTGTGGTCCTGGCTTAGAATGGGTGTCGTAAGAGTCAACTAAAGGACGGCAAATGATGGTCAGCAGCATCCCTCTTAAAACATCTCTAAAGCCTAACTGCGGTTGCCAGTCCGTCTGGCTAGCATGGCACCTACTGGCAAAACTTCCTAAGTGGAGGATCATGTTCAGCGGTCAATGGCTGATATAATCATGATGATTCTCTATCTTAACCGTGCGGTGCCAGCTTAGAATGGGCTACCCCTTCCTTTCCTGTGGGTGGTGTAAGAGGCGACTAAGTAACTTAATATTTGAGAGTTGGCCAACAGCGTCTTTTTTAAAACATCACAAAAGCCTAACTGCGGTCGCCAAACCGCCTGCCAAGCATGGCAACAACTGCCCCCCTCCCCTTGTTGCAGAGGCCTATGTTCAGAAGTGGACAGTTAACGTTTATATGAAAATAATGATTATCTCTATCAAATGAACCTACCGTTCTGCACCATACGAGAGGAAATATAAAAAGAGGGCCAGGTAATTAATAAAATCGTAGTAAAAAACTAGTGAGCTTGACAGATGGCGCTTCTGAGTACAGGGTCGTATTCAACCTTTCAAAAAGAAAGATTAAAAAAGATTTTTTAACTGCTTTTATAAACAGTGGGTTATGCCACTGTTAAAAAAGAGATAAAATTATAAAGAGGAGGGAGAAGGGATTGTTAGTAATCGAGATATGCGATCCCATTGCTAGCAATATACCCTATAAGGTCGACCTCCATGTGGTTTCCTTTGGAAAACATCGTGATTAATTTATTGTTAAATTCCTCACTATGGGCTAACTGACCTGCTTCATTATCACTTATCATCCCTCACTGGTACCCTACCAATGTATACTGACAGTGCAGGCGGGCTTTTTTTTAATGGGTGATAATGAAATGGTAACCCTGCCTGCGCTATCGGGATACGCTAGGGGGCGGTGTGAGGATGAAGCAGGTCAGTTGGCCCATCGTGACGAATTTAACAAAAATTGTTCAAGATGATTTCCAGGGGGAACCACGTGGAGGTCGACCTAATAGGGCATATTGCTAGCAATAGAGCTGTCAAACTCCATTACTAATAATCCCTTTCCCCCCAGTGCAGGCGGAGTTACCATTCCATTATCATCCATTAAAACAAAATAACAAAGATGATTATATAAATATTATAAAATATGGAAATAAATATTATAAATCAATCTGACATGTCACTGAATGAATGAATGAATGAAAACTCTATATTGTTCTTCTCAAAGAATGATATAGATTACAAAGATTAACAACTTATAAACAAATAAATTAATAATTACCTTATTTACAAAAGCTTACTTACAAAAAGCGATAGAAAGAGAAAGACAATCGTATTTTAAAGGATCAATATTTTTTTATTAATGTAATAATAACGAGATGTTTATATAGCTTGTGATGAGTTTTGATTTTATTTACTGATTTGAAATTGATATTAATTTTTTTATATTAAAAAAATATTGTTACTTACCAAATAACTAGTAATACTCTTGGTTTCGCACGGGTAGACAAGTAGAAAGATTAATTAAATTTCATATTAGCTTTAATACTCAAATTTATTGATACGTTGCATTACATTATTGTAATTTTCGTAGTTAATTTATTTATTTAAATAACTTTATTGACCAAAATAAAAAAAGACGGGCTTAATGCTAGTAGCATTCTCTACCAAACAACCTTTGGGATGAAAAGAATCATGAATCATTAATTTTTTTAAAATAATATGCTGTCCATGTCCTTTGACGTACTGTTATTCTAATAATGCCACTTTGTACAGGTGAAAGAATTTTAAAAAGTGTATAAACTTATTATCCGTATGAACAAAAAAACAAACATACGAAAAATCAAATCTTTCTTCTAATATAAGTATAGTTTGTATAACTATTTACAAACTCATATAATACTGGGGGAAAGGGATTGTTAGTAATGGAGACTGAGAATCCTATTGCTAGCAATATACCCAACCAGGTCGACCTCCTCACGGTTCCCCCTGGAAACTATCATGGTTAATTCCTGATGAATTCATCATGATGGGCTAACTGGCCTGTTTTCATTCTCATCTATCACCCTTCGCTGGTGCTCCGCCAGCGTATCCCGTTAGCGCAGGCGGAGTTACCATATACCATTTTCATCCATCAAAAAAAAAAAAACTCATATAATACACAATATATTACTCATCACTAACCATGTTGTTACATTAATTTCCATTGAATTCGTCGTAAAACTTTTATTCATTAATTGATTGCCAAATAAAGAGCTAACTTGATGTGCTTAATGAGTGCTTAATTGAAACACGCAACACCACTTGTGTTTCACGAATAGATTAACATACTTTAAATACCAAATCCGGCCCTGTTTCACAAGTGATAGTTAAGTTATTCTCTTTTACTTGGGACTCGGAGTTAGTACGAACACAGGCGTCATTGTGGTAACACGTAACTTAATACTGGCTTAAGTTGTAGTTAAGTAATGCTAAGTAAGTGATGATGAACCATTTTTGTTTGATGGAAAATGTGATTCAGTCGACGAGACGTTTTGGCTTTTGAAAACTTTTTTTAATTGACTTTTTTTTTGTTTTTTATTTTTGTGTCTGGACTTTTGAAGGATCGCCGGTTATTTGGAATTTTGTGTCGTTCATTTTAAAAAGGTATGTTTAATTTAATTTATTACTATTCTTTTTTTATTGAACAAGGAATTAGGAATTTAAATTGTAAATACAAATTTACAATTTAAATTCCTGAATACATTTTAGTAATAGAATTATCTAAAAAAACAATTATTATTTAAATTAATAATTCTATAATAATTATATGAATATTGTTTTTAGACGTTGTAATAAAGTTGTGACGAAATCAAGTTAAAGATAAAAAATATTTTAATTATTTACTATCATAAGTAAAATAAACTCATATGAAAAAAAATTCACCAAATATTTTAAACTATTAATATATTTTTTCCATAAATACATAAATTTTAAAACATGCATGACACACCAAACATGCATACATCAACATACACACACAAAAATCGATCAATTCAAAAACTCATAATTTTTAAAGTCTATATATATATATATATATATATATATATATATATATATATATATATATATATATCATACCGATATTACATATTACCTAATTTTTATATTAAATCTGGATTTTGTCTTTATCTAATTTGCAACCAATTTCAAAAAGATGTATGTTCTCAATTCGATTATATTTTTTTTAATGTTTGTTACCTCATAACTCAGAACTCTTTTACTATCTGAAAAAATATATTTACAGATCGATTCCACAGAAATTTTATCAAAATCGATTCAGTAATTAAGTTTCTGAGACAAAATAATTGGTTTAATCACGACTGAAGTCAGTATTTTTTTTTTAATAAATAAATTAAATCATTGATTCACGAAAGTTTTATCCCAATATTATACGCAGAATAGATAATAATAAATAATATAATTACATATTATTATAATTATATTTTTTTTTAATTATAATTACATATTAATTATATTACATATATTTATATGAATATATAATCAACTCATGCCAATAAATCTAATTAATTCTGCTTAATTTTACGTACCGCGAACAACTTTGACTTCACTTGGTATAGATGGCCAGCACCACTTGTCCCTACCAATTTCCCCCCTGGGGGGTAAATAATCATGATTGATTGACATCCAAACATCTTTACAAACTTTCACATTTATATATATTAGTATTACTCGCATTGTTCACTTTAATTTATAGATATCTAGTTTTTACCCGCGACTTCGTTCGCATGACTGAGATATATTGATTAACTGGTATACGAGTAAAAAGTAGCTTATAATCTTTATAATCCCAAATATGTGTGTACTAAATTTAATTAAAACTGTTAAAGCTCTAATTTGTATGCAACTTAGAATGGCAAACAAGCTGACGGCCCACCTGATGGAATATGGTAACCGAGTAGCAAAGACTGTTTACTAACCAGAAGGAGACTTTGTACAAAAGTCGTTTGCTTGGGTACCTCTGTCCTATTCGTGTTTCTACCATGAAGCAGTTAAGTTTTGCATGGTTGTGTTTCGATTTGAAGGGTGAGCGATTAAATAAAAAAATATTGCAGTGAATTTTCAGGGTACAGAGGAATAATACCTGAGTCTTCAGGAATGGCAACGCATGGGAGGTATCATGGGCGAAACAGTATACTCTGTTATGTCCATGGTATATAATATAATATAACAGAGTACACTATTTTTCTCATGGTACTGCTCATGTCTATACCGGCGACGGTTACCACTTTCCATCAGCTTGTTCATTCAGCAGCGTTAACCGTCAGATTGTCTGCCATTCTAAGTTGCATAAAAAAAAATATAAATTTATAGAATTTATCTAAAGATATGAGAGGGTAATTAGAATGAAAGAATGAATAATTTATTATGCATTCTATGGTAATTATAGGTTGATAGGTAGGTAATATTGTGTACAACACAGTCTAAACACGAGCGTAGAGTATTAAGCCATTTCATGGCCTTATGACAATACATACATATAAATATTTCGTAAGAAATTTACCAGAGGGAGACTTTGTACAAAAGTCGATTGCTTGGGTACCTCTGTCCCATTCGTCTTTCAACCGTGAAGCAGCTGTGTTTGCATGGCCGTGTTTCGGTTTGAAGGGTGGAATATGGCGTGAATTTACTGGGTACAGAGGAATAACACCTGAGTCCTCAGGAATGGCAACACAGGGGGGGTATCATGGGTGAAACAGTATACTCTGTTATGTCCATGGTACTTACTGCTCATGTCTATAGGCGACGGTTACCACTTTCCATTAGGTGGGCCGTCAGCTTGTTTGCCGTTCTAAGTTGTATAAAAAAAAATTGAATACCAGGCGTGACAACTATTAGCGAACCCTCCTTATGAGGGGGAGGAGATTATTAGTAATGAAGAGGTTAACCCTCATTGCTATCAATGTACCCTATCAGGTCAACCTTCACGCGGTTCCCCCTATAAACTATCGTGACTAATTTATCGTTAAATTCGTCATGATAGGCTAACTGACATGCCTTTTCATCCTCACCTATCTCTCACTGGTACGCCGCCAGTGTATACCGATGGCGTAGGCAGGGTTACCATGCGATTTTCACCCATTAAAAAAAACCTTTCTAACAGTGGACAATTAACAGCTTATCAGCTATCCATCCATCTCTAACCATCTATCTCTTTCAGTCAACCATATTTGGTTGGCTGGTAGAGAACACCGTTCGATGTTAAGTCCGTCAAATGTACATTAAATTTTACTATGCATTAAAGTTTAAATAAATAAATAACGATAATGTTGATGGTTTGAAACCATCAATGATTTCAATGACAATGATATTCATATTAAAATCCGTTTCGTAGTTTAGAAGTGAATAGAGAAACAGTCAGACGCAAACAATGGCTTTGTTTTATAGTATCAGACGGGCCGTATGCGTCTTTGCTACTTTAGTGGTATAAAAAAATTATACAAAGATTACAATCATCATCATTATTTCAGCCTTACCGTCCACTGCTGGACATAGGCCTCCCCCATACACTGCCATAAAGAACGATCCTGATCAACGCATTTCAGGATTACAATACGTCACACTTATTAAGTACTATCTTCAAGTATGAATCTACTATTTCCAGTTTTCTATATCACATACAACATACATACATACATTAAATCTAATACCATATACATAGGCACTATATCTCTGCCTGACAGTGTGAGATAGACAACAGTATACTCTGTTATGTCCATGGTACTGCTCATCACTATAGGCGACGGTCACCACTTTTCATCAGGTGGGCCGTCAGCTTGTTTGCCATTCTAAGTTGTATAAAAAAAGTCACTTTTATATATATATATATATATATATATATATATATATATATATATATATATATATATATATATATATATATATATATATATATATATATATATGATATGATTGAATTCCGCAAAATACAGGGGTTAAACCCACCTTATGCCCTGGGTTAATTAAGAGCCCCCCCCCCCTCCCCTTCACGCCACTGATGACGAAAAGAGCCAATGAAAAAGTAATCAGCCATTAATACTGTTTAAAACTACGAGTTAATCAATGATCCTTGTATAACTCTCTCTTAGACTTTGGCACCACGTTTGGGTTTCGGCGCTCTCCTTAGCCCTCGGTGCTCCCAGGCGCAGCCCAATAAATAAATAACGTAACCTTGGCTGGAAAAAATTACTTGCAGAAATGCCCTTGAGCAGCTTTGGCGAGAGACCAGAAAACTCGAGTTCCCGAAGGCAAACTAGCCAATCTCTTACCAATTCTACTAATATGCTCCGACTTCGTTGTGGCTATAACTCTTTTGAAAGACCTAGAGCCAGAATTGTACTTCTTTTTAAAGACACATTTTTAGTAAGTGTAAAAATACTTAAAGACAGTGTGAAAAATTAATAAATCACACATAACGCTGAACATAAGCCTCCCCTTTGGGGGTTTTGCTAGTAGTTGCCACCCTTGACAGGCGGATTGGCAACCGCAGTTAGGCTATGGAGATGTTTTAAGAGGGACGCTGCTGCCTATCCCTCGTCTTCCCTTAGTCGCCCCTTACATCCACGGGAAAGAAAGGAGTGGCCTATTCTATACCGGAGCACATGGTTAAACTAATATCTTAGATATACTACTTATCGAATATATAAAATTCTCATGTCACGGTGTTTGTTACCAAACTCCTCCGAAACGGCTTTACCGATTTTCATGAAATTTTGTGTGCATATTGGGTAGGTCTGAGGATCGGCCAACATCTATTTTTTATACCCCTCAATGATAAGGGTGACCCACCTCTAAAATTTATTTTTTATTTCTTTGACAATTTTTTTTATTTTTATTTTAATATGATTTAGCATTGAAAAATACATACAACTTCAAATTTTCACCCTTTTACGATCAATCCCTGTTTTTTAATCGCGATTTTTATAAGGTAAGGTTTATAGGTTGCAAGATGGCAATCGAATATAATAATTGTAGTAGGATAAATTTTCATTTATAGTGCTCGAAATAATGTATATGGTAAAACAACGATTGCTGAATCAGCTAGTATATATATATATATATATATAAATTATATAGAATGATGACTTCTTTCTACGAGAGAGAGGCTTAAAAATGAGCATTTACTTTTTTCCATTCATTCTTATTTCACACATCAATCAATCCATCTCGATATATAAATACCCATCTATGCAAGTCATACGAAATTACATCACCTAATTTTGGCGGAACAAAACATAATAGACAAAAAAAGTGTTTTCCAATATGTTTTTTCTAATATAAATCTTAATTACAGTGAAACAAATGAATGGGTGATATTATTAAATAGACAATAACTTTTTTTGCGCTACACTCGGATGGGTTTTTTCTAAAAGCAATAATAAATCATTGTTAGTCTATCTCAATCGAAAGGCCTATTGGACAGGTGGCGAATAAATTTCACTTTCACCAGAGGAGTCTTCGTCAAGGGCAAACAAAAGTGAGTTGTGTACAACACCGCACAAAGTTTAGATTTGTCTGTGAACAATTTTAGACATACGACTATTCGAATTAATCACGCAGTCGGATTTGTAAAATGTATAATATTG